GGCGGCGAGGACGAGCGGCTGGGCCGGATGAAGCGGGCCGCGAAGGACCAGAGGGAGCTCGACGAGTGTGCGCGAGGGTTCGACGTGGGGAGGCTCGGCAGAATGATGGGGTCTGATGCTAGAAGTTACACCGAGGGTTTGGAGGAGTTGTATCAGGAAATGCTTGTTAAACTCGTGGATTTGACCTCCTTGGTGGAGAGGAGTTCTGCCAAGGTTCTTGAGCAGGTGACATTGTTACTCGAGTAATGATTTTTTCTTTTTTTTGCAATCCGAGATTGTTGTTTTGCTGTTACTTTTAAAGGCAATTATCGTAAAGGTTAACGAATTTACCATACACGGAAATTTGTAATCGGATGACAGGGCTGTTTAGGCTTAAAAATATCCTTGGTATGCTTGTAAGATAGTAGTAGTTGTTGTTAACGTTGAGCAATAATATGTATCATATAACATGATGATTGCGGTCAGAATGTAGTAGTAGTATTTGTTGTTGCTAATGTTGAATGAAATGGTTGTGTATAAGATAACGTGATGGTCAATATATCAGAGTGTAGTGGTTGTTTAAATGTGGGGAATGGGGATGGTAATTGAGTAGAAGTTCTATTGATTTTATTTTCGAATGTGTTGTTGTCAACGGGTTTGTTTTGAATTGGGAGGTTGATGTGGGTTAAGTGCAGCTGATGCGGTTTGCAGTCATGGGGTGATGGGATATCTGAGATGTTGTGGCTGTGTTTTATCATTTATGATACTGTCTGCAATTTTAAGTGTTGACAGAAGTTGTTGTAGTTTTGGAGTCTAGTATGTTTATTGGGTTTGCAGTGTGTTGGACTGTTGGGCCTAGTAAATTTACCCGCAAATGAAATAATTGGTCAATTTTGTTGATAAGAGATCATAATGACTGGCAGAAGCATTGTTGGCATAGTAATAATGTGATGATACTTGCACAAAAGCTTTGAATGTCTAGGTAGTTACAAGAAATGGCTTGCAGTTACCGAAAGCTTTGGATTAAGGGGATTCATCAGATAATTCTGACTCTGCAGTTTGTTTCAAATCTGTAATCAGTTGTGAGGATTCTAGACAGTTATACATTAGGGGTCTGATTGGGTAAACTTTTCCAAAAGTACTTCTAGGGGAGTAAAATAGGAAGGAAAATGAAATAAGCTTCTCAATTACCTAAAATTAGCTTATGCATAACAGCATAAGCTAATCTGTAGAAGTTCTCTCCTATTAATTTCTCTAAAATCTTATTTTTAACTCATGCATAAGTTAATTTTAGCTTATGAAGAAGCTTATTTTGATTTTTTCCTTCCTACTTTTCTAACCTAGAAGTGCTTCTAGATAAGCTTATCCAAATAAGCCCCAGGTCTATAAATGGCATTTAGGATTATTAACTTGGGGTTGCTTGGAGGAACACCTAAATTCCTACCCCAAACCCTGCCATCCCTTTTATATTTCCTGCTATTTACTTTCATGTCATATGCAATTTATTTTCTGTCCATTTATTTAACTTGCACATATACAGTTCTTTCTTACATGTCATGTGCTTTACATTCCTGGTAATGATTTATTTAATTCCTTACCTTTAGGGATGTTTGTTATATGGAAATTTTTTTCATGTCCAAAAATCATGATTGATGAGAATTACAAATTCTAGGAATCATTTAAAATTTGTTTGATTAGTTATAAATTTGTTACTTGGGAATCAAAGAGTTTTTACTGTATTAAATAAGTTAAATAAACGTAACATGATATTTTTACAGCATGAAAAGTTTCTTATTAACTTGGAATGTTAGTTGCCCACCTTCCCTTGGGAAAATTTTTGTGGAAAACCTATGTAAAATAACTTTTCTACGAAACAATGTTTCCAAAAAAATGGTATTTTTTTAAAATAACAAACCAACATGGGAAACTAGCATTCCCACCTCCAGATTCTTGGTAAAGTAAAAACTTTCTAGCAAACAATGTTTCTTGTATTTATCTTTCCTTTCAGTTTTCAATCACATTTCTTGCCTTCTATTTAAATTTATTGTTTGTTCTTTTGGTTGATGCTTTTGACCTTCTTTCTTTCTTTCTTTTTTCAAATTTTTGTTGGTTTTTATTTTTTTTTTAAGTTCAATAATCTATATATTTCTTTAAGCTTTACACTTTATTTTTGACCTCAAGTTTTCCATACTTCTTCTATCATACCCTTTATTTTCACTTATAAGTTTTCTGCCAATTTCATTCTCTCCTACCAGTTTGTTTGCCTTTTATTTCACATTCTTTTCAAAGTATTTGTTTTGGTTACTTTTAATTAGTTTCTATTTCTTTTATCTCTTGATATTTTTTTCCTCTCCACATTATTTTTCTAGTCAAATTACTTTTCTTTCCATGTTAACTATTAATAGATTGCTTGTATGCACTTTTTTATCAGGTCATTTTCGTCAATTGTATTTCCTTTTCTGTTATGTTCAATTTTATCCCTTTTCATCAATTTAGTTGTCTTTTGTCAGTTATTTATACTTTTCTACCATTTTAATCTTGTCATTTTGTCTTTCTTGTCAGTTTCTTTTCCTGATAGTTTAAGTTAACCGTTCTATTTCCTAGTTCCTACACGTTAGCTTTACATCATTATATGTTTGCCAATTTGACATGCAAAGGTCAATCATTCTTTACATTTAAGCGTCATCTTAATGAATTATATATTTACCAGATTACAGCATAGCCTGAAAACCTGGATGGAGTAAAAAGGATTTTAGATTAGGGATTTTAGTTTGTTTGCTTTCTTTAACTGTTTTGAGGGTTGATAAATAATGATTTTGATTGTTTTGTGTGCCTGTCTGCTTGATAGAAAATTATAGAACCTTGTGCAGTTGCTAACTTGTTTTTGAATTTTCTTTAACAATTTTGAACAGGAAAGTCATAATAGGAAGTTGAAACACAAAATTTTGAGATCTGCTGCCTCAGAATAATTATCTTTATCATCGCTGGTGATCCCTTCTTTTTTGTTCAGGTACGTCTTATTTTCAAATTTTGTGTTTAGTTGTAAAAATAGAGCAGAAAAAATTATATTGTCCAAGTGGTTTACATCTTTTATTCTTTTACATAACTATTTACGTTGTTTGGACTTAAACTCATCAAGCGACTAGACTTGTAAGGGAGACAGGAGGACTTATAATTATAATCATCAATGTATTCTATGTAGCACCAACAAGCTTTTTGACTCTGATACTCTTTTGATGCTGTATCATAATACATGGGTGCTGCTCAACCAGTGTTCATTTAAAAAATTAAGGGCCTGTTTACTTTCAAAATAATGTTTTGTTTTCCTTTTTTTCTTTTCATTTTTAATTACAAAAATCTCACTTTGTTTTATTTAGTTTTATGTTTGTAAAGATTTGGGCAATAAATAAGGAAAATAATAGAAAAATATTTTCATTATTTCTCTTACAAATCTTCAGAAACAGAGAACAAATGAAACCAGGTGATACAGTTATAATTGATAGCAAAAAGTGAATATTTTCTCAAACTAAACAGACTTTCAAAATTTACTAGCTCCGGACTCAACTAGCATCAAAATAAGCCATGCATCTTAAAAGTACATGGATGTTATAAAAAACTTGCAAAGATTTGCTTGTGAAAGAAAGAATTAACTTTTATAAAGTAACTAGTTAAAATATAGAAAAAATGATAATAAAAGGAGATTTTTTTTTTTCTTTCAGTTTTTTGTTATACATGTATTCGTTGGAGGCAAGTCTTTTTTGTAAAGAAACAAAGTGCTTACAAGTTACAACATTAAAATAATGGCTCTTAGATTTCTGTTTTTGTAGGGCTATTGCCATAGAAAAAAATGTAAAGCTTAGCAAGTTACAACAACTAAGCCTTTTCCCACTAGGTGGACAAAGAGTAGCAAATTATTTTGAGAAAAGGTAAATATTTAAATCATGATTCTCAGTTTAGGATGCATTGTCGAATCCTAATTCGAGAATCTGGATTTTCCTAATTCTAAAAAACCATTGTCGTCAATTCAAAGCTCATGTATTTTCACACACATGGAAACATCAAATATGTGTATGGTACTATGTCTTGATGTCTTATATTTTGGACCATCCATATATCTGTATGCTGTTCATGCTTCATGGGTGTTGGTGGTGATTTGTGTTGCAGATTTATGAAAGATCATGTCCCAAATTCTTGATAAAACTTAAGTTACAACCTTCTATTTGGAGACTTTTTCCTTGCAACTTCTTGCGTTCCTTTGTGAAAGAAATCTGTTTAATTCTTTAACAGTAGATGTGCACTAACGCAGGTTTAAACTTAGTACAGGGGTACTTTTCTTTCATTATTATCTCTCTCCTCCCTTTTTGATTTTACTATCAATAGATATGAGAACACTTACCTGATAATACATGATATTGGTAAAACACGAGTTATTTATTTATTTATTGGAAACAAAAAATAATGCTTTTGACATTGAGAATAATTCAGTGTTTTACTTTGGCATCTGAGTGTCAAGTTTTAGAGGTCTTTTTCTAGTGATCTCCAGAACAACATGAAACAAGGGGGTAATTTTATTGCATAGCTCACCAGGCTTGTATGAAAAGTTGATGATAAATTCTAAAGAGCATGGCTATTGAATAATGTATGTTAGCATCGAGGATTTCCATAATGAGCATAAAATCATGTCTTACGATAACCTTTTCTCATATGATGGCATATGGGTTAGATTGTTTATGTCAAGTAGCTTCATGTACTTACTAATGTCATGGCTGAGTGTCAAGTTTTAGAGGTCTTTTTCTAGTGATCTCCAGAACAACATGAAACAAGGGGGTAATTTTATTGCATAGCTCACCAGGCTTGTATGAAAAGTTGATGATAAATTCTAAAGAGCATGGCTATCGTATAATGTATGTTAGCATCGAGGATTTCCATAATGAGCATAAAATCATGTCCTACAATAACCTTTTCTCATATGATTGTATATGGGTTAGATTGTTTATGTCAAGTAGCTTCATGTACTTACTAATGTCATGGCTAGAGAAAATAAATGTAAAACATCTATGCACACTTAGCCTTATGGCATATGGTCAATCATCGATGTTAACAAGCTTTATGTGTGACACAGCAGAGAAGATTAGCAACGGACATTTTCAGCGTTCTGTGCCTGATCTGAATCATCAACAGTTTCTTCTGAGAACGCTGATCTGAATCATCAACAGTTTCTTCTGGTGGTCACTTGCAGAATGAGTTTGCCTGTTTGGACCTTTTGGTGGGCCTGTGATGTATGCAGTCCAGCTATTGTAGATGATGTATTTTATTTTTTTGATGACTCTTCAAGCTGAAGAAGGTAGTAATTGTGCAGAGTAGTTGAATGATGTGGTCCTTTTCAATACAAGACCGATCTGATGTTTTTTTCTCTCCACCCTGTGGCATATATTTGCTCCATGTAATTATATGCCAACTCTATTCTTATTGTATTTTCAGCTTTAGTTGTTGCTATGTCGTTTTCACAAGGTCATCTTTACAAGGGAGAAATGAAATCAGCATGAGTTGCGGTATCGTTAACTGGTTCCACTCCAAAGGTATAAGATGTTTCTGAAATGCCTACCTTTGAAAACCATCTTTACGGGCAGAAATTCTGTTTGGGGCTTGCTAAGTTATTGGTTAATAATTTCGATAAGTTAGTGGGCTGGTAATTTTTTCCCCAGAAAAATGTTTGCTACGTTAATTAGTCTATATCAATTGTTAAGAAATAATTGACTCTATTAATAATTATGTAAGGTGTAGGGTCTTAATTATAGAAGAAAATTTTTCCATTTCAAAAGAATGTGAAGTTTTTACATTAATTTTCTACCAGCATGGTCTTTTGAGCGCTTCTAATGTAATCATATGTTTTATCTGAACATGTATATAAGAAAAAATAAAAAATAAATTTCACACATTAAAAAAATTGGTTGAATAAGTAAAAATAGTTTTTTTTATTAAATGTAATTAATTTTTACGATTTTATATAAGATATATATCATATTTCCTAACATACCCTTAATTAGATTTATTGTAGGTACAATTCTCATAATTATCTAAAAAAATATTTTTAAATTAAGATTATGAGAATTTGTTTATGTTTTAGCTTAAAAAATTTAAGTATTTTATACTTTTATATTAATTCAGAGATACTAAGATAGTATCAAAGAAGTATCATCGCTAGCGATGTTAGAAGCTTGACGTGGAGGAAGGAACTTTCAGAGTTGCTGTACAAAGCATGTTAATAACCATTTCTATGTTAGGGTAAAGAATTAATCGCAAAAAGTTAAATTACACATTTTTTAAGTTAAAGAATGAAATTAAATCATTTAAAAATAATGAAATTCAATTGAATAGAGAGATGAAAAATATAATTTATTATGCATTTAATGATTGAGCCACAATTCTAACATAGATCAATGGGCATTTAATGATTGAACTACAATTGCATATTTTGCAGAATTTGGAGATTAAAATTGAGAAATTAAAAATTAAGGAGTAAAATTATGAATTTGACATAATAAAAAAAAAGTGTAATTTAACTTTTAATATGATATTAGATAATTGTATAGAAACCTTTATACTATTATTTATTTTTTCCGATTAAAATTGGCAAAATAATTTTTAGTGCTTCCCAAACAATATTGTTTTTTTTACTGGAAAATATTAATTAATACTTATATATACTTGAACTGTAAAATAATTTGGTTGATTTTGTTACTGTTTTGGTCGGACATTGCTTACTAAAATATGTTGAATTTCTAACAATTGGTTTTTATATTGATATATAATTTGATCAAGTGACCCAACTTATATAAGTTTATTCATGTTTTTGAATAGTTAAATGCAAATTGCTTCAACTGATTCCGACCGAAAGGCATTTTTAATGCATGAATAATAATTAATAACCACAAATTCAGTATCTTCTAGAAAGCAGCTTCAGCCATCTTTTCAGAGATGTACCTCTTCGGAGCAGATGTTTATCATTGCATTCAGCCCTATAGATGAAAGACAAGTATCAATGTAATGTAAATCTCTTGAACAATGCTGAGTTTACACAATTTCATAGGATAAGAATTTTGCAAGTTCTAAAAACTTGAATTTTCAGCTTACTGTCATGTTGCCAGCAGGA